TCATTTTTTCTTGAATAGTTAATGCTTATACTTAGTTCAAAGTTTAAAAGGTACCAAAGGGAACACGCATTTCTTCCTCAACTACATGGCAACGGGTTTGCTAGTTTCTTGTGCATCTTGAGGGTACCTTTCTGAAAGAAATTTTAAAAAAGTATATTTCAAATGATGCCCAAAAGAAAAGCATACTTTTCTTCTCTAACTTTCAAGGGCAAAGTATAATTAAGTGGGTTGCTTTTACCTATGGGGACTAAAGACTAAAGAAGCTCTGTGAGTCTTACAGTTATAATGTCAGTGACAATGCCCATGGGCCACAGTGAGAGGAAGTTAAGATACGTGTGGCCACAGAGAAAAATGAGCCCACGTCACACTTGGCCCCATTGAAGTCATACCAGAGAATACACTGGCGTAGTTGGGTTTTGTTTTGTGTAAATGCTTACATTTTTTTCATTGAGATGTTTTGGAAACTTTTTAGGATAAGGCAGAATCTTTATAGTTTTTCTCCTTCATAAAAAGAAGAAATCATAATAAATTATGGTAGGAGGTAAAATGCACTCAATTTCTGTAATATTAACCCACTTGTCTGAACTTTAAGAAAAGTTTCAAATAATAGATGAGAAGGTGGAAGGTTACAGACTGGAGACATGACCCTGCTGACTTCTGATTTCATTACTGCTAACTGTGCGAACATGCACACCAAGTGAATCCAGGCGTCTGGGATCCACAGGCCAAGTGTTGGACTTTGAACAGAAACTCATCGCTTTGCTTTATGTTCACCCTGGTGCCTCAAGAAGGGCCATCTCATTCCACCTGTGTTCTTTCCTTGTGCTGTCTAATCCCATACATCCTCCCTCGTGTCCCCATGACGTCTACTCAGATGCTAGAAGGCCCCTGAACTTTATCATCAATATTCTGCAGGAAAGTCAGAATCATCGTCCTCACCGTCACTTAAAGAAATAACACAATCTATGTGCCAGTGTGTAGCAAAGAGCAAGAAGGAAGTAAATTGCTCTTAGCTAGAAGGAAGAGCTTTGTTCGAGGTCTGGAACCTTGCCCGAGAGGTTTGTTTTCTTGGGTGTCACAGAAATCCCATCTTTGTAGCTATTCTTGTTTCCAGCCCCAGAAACGAGGCAGCTACTAAGTTTTAGGGTGTGCTTTAGAGTTTAGAAAATGCTTTTATATGCTTGATCTCATTTGATTCTTAAATCAGTCTTGAGAGGCAGGTGATCGCCCCATTTTATTCACAAGAATAAAAGACTCAAAGGATTATGTGACTTGACAAGAAAACCATTCCAAAATTCATGTTCATTTCATCTTTTTGGCTCAGTCATAGGCAAAAACAACAAAAAAACCACCATAACAAAAACACTCTTTCCTTGTTTAATTCATCTGAGGTAGACTGAAGCTGTCAAGGAGAACTCGGCTAAAAAGGAAGTTAAATTAACTATCGAATAATCAAGGAAGTAATCCTGGCATAACGTGGGCAAGCGAATGCAGAGGTGGCAGACTGAGGTCTGCATCTGCCTGTCATCTTCACCCTTGTTTCCAGGACCTGGCCCCCAAATTAGCTTTTTTGCATTGCTCTGCTTCAAGAAGAAAAGGGCTGGGGCGAGAGCGTGTACAGTCGGAAGCCCGGCGGCTCATGAGTGTGTTCTTGTTCAAAGGCGCCGTTCTACGAGCCTTGTGTATATGATCTCATTTATTCATGTCAGATCGCTGGGGGCTGTGTACTCGTTCCCTCTGCTTTGAGAAAAGCGCGGACAGACTCCCATCACCTGTCAAAGGCCTTGCAGCTATGAGAAGCGGCACAGCCAGGCATCCTGGTTCCAGAGCCTTCTCCTCCAGTCACTGTGCCAAGCGAACTGTAAGGGCCTGTGAAGGAACCCTGCAGACGGCATGGAGGACCGGTCGGAGAGGGAAGAGAGCTGCACGAGAGGGCGGAGCCTCAGGCTCTTACTGCAAATTCATGGAACGGCTCCTCAGCACTCTGTCTGTTCCCCCCTCGCCGTTCCCGCTGTGTTGATCTCTTCCCCCTGACTAAGAGGTTTCTTCTTGGGGGGTGGGCCTGGGAAGTGCCCCTCCCCAGAAGCTGCCATCGAATGAACCCTCCGGTAAAGCATTCATCTCCTGAGTAACTCCTTGGTCAGTGCTTTACACTCACAACGACAGTCTTTCTGATGCTATAATCTAAGGAAGAATTTGTAGCAGGGCACTGTGAAGAAGAGAAGGATTTTCTCAGATTCACCAAGGAAGGCAGCGATTCAGGCAAAGATTAATGTACATTAACAGCATTTCAGACTGAGCACTAACTGATTGCATATGGCTTCTCATTTAACCCTCTATAATTAATTCTTGAGCTTGGTGTTCTTTATAAATGAGGAACCAGAAGCTGAATGTTTGGAAATGGGTCTTCTGAGGTAGTCTGTCCTCTACAAAGTTGGCTGGGAACCTAAGTAGAAAGGTCTGTCTCTCTTTTCACAGTCCACAGGAAGGCCTTTGGCCATAATCCTGACTTTTCTTCTGCTTCTCTTGTCCTTGGCCTCTGAGGCAGCTGTGAAACCGCCACTCCAGCGCCACCCAGACACAAGGGCCATAAGCAAGAGTGAGTATTTCTCAGAGCCATTTTAGCATCGAGGAAGGATTTATCAGGGGAGGTGTAGAGTTCTTCATTTTCCCACTGGTGGACTTTCAGTACCTATTCCAGGGACGTGAGATTCATTCATGTCCTTCCTGTTAGATGTGGTAGGGAGGTTGGGAACTGTGTCCTGGCGCAAGGAAAGGGCAGGAACAAATGTGAATAGTTTTCTCAAGATCCCCATTTCCTGACTATGTGCAGTCTTAAAATAAGCCCACGCCTGGATGCTCACGAGGTGATGGCTTGGAACACTGGCCAGGCGGGAGATTTACTGCCTCACTTTCTCTGTCCAGCTATTTTAAGTGTCACTTACGCTCTAGTGTCTTTTTATATTTATGGATGTGCACTCCAGTCCAAAGAACGGGTGTCCTACTTCCTGTGGCTTCCTCGTAAGTGCCCTCTGAAATATTGACTTACTTGTACACCATGGGCTCTAGCGCTCGCAGCAGTCCCTATGGGGTCTCTATTTCTACTTTGGATTTTACTCTGAAGAAAGAAGACAGAAGTACATAGGTACGTGCCATTAACAACCACAAAATGCTGACCTTTCTTCTTAAGAGCAAAGCATATTCTCTCTGTGGGCAAAGCTTTAGGAAATCAAAAGCATTTTCCTTTGACAAAAAACCTTAGTCTCAGTATAAATGAGGAAACAGATGCCAACTTGTGTCTCTTTGAAAAGGGTCAGGATAAATAGCTCCTTCCTCTCCCTACGCGTCAAAAATGCTGATCCTCACCTTGCCCTTCCTCTGCCTCACTTCCCTTGCCCTTTGGGTGGGTCCCCGCTGTGGATGAATTTTTACCTAACCTTTGGCCATCAGGGCTTGCTGTTCCCACAACTATCTTTGGAGCGGAAGTAGTGATGATCCATCTTCCAAAGCGTCATGATGAAAACTGATGTCCTAGGGGACTCACCGAACGTCACTGTGTGCGTTTCCTCATCACTGGGTTCAGGATGTGCCTGATCCGGTCTGTACCCGGAGAATCAGGAAGTATGCATTTGTGAGGAGAGGGTGGAGGTGTGTGGGCTAGATGATAAAGCTGCAGTTAGAACAGACGCGAAAGAGGGAAATGACTCAGGACTCCTAAGTTAAGACTTTCCTACCACGTCTTGTTCGAAAGCACTTGAGAATACTAATGGCCTCTTCTCTAAGTAGGACCTAGAATCCGGCTAGAGAGATGAAACAGACATGAGTATCTCCAGTGATACGAGGTAGGATAGGCTAAGTGTCAATAACCCATAACCACACCTACTTGTTTACTGTCTCTGGCGGCTTTCACCGTGTGATTGCGGAGCTGAGCCGCTACAAAAAAGACCTATGGCATAAAAGACCCAAAGATTTCCCTCTGGCCCTTTACAGAGAATGTCCACCCAACTCTAATGTAGAGCAGGTTCTTCAGGAGGTGAGTAAAGGATGATCGCTCCTCGTAGGGAACCCTGCGAAGACTTCACAAGGGCTTGTGCTCTGTCTCAAAGATTATTGGAGACAGGCACAGGACAGAAGGATGGATGTAAAGGGTGGGTCTGAACAGCACAGGGCCTCGAGTGCTAGGCTAAAATATTTGAAGTGACAAAACGTATCATTTTTCCACTCTCCAAGGGCAGTGGGGGTCAAGGAAGTGACTTTTAAAGTACACTAAAGCCCTAAGAATCAATTTTTTAAAGTGCTGATGTGTATCCCCACCTCCAGAGTTTGTGACTTAATTGGCCTCCATTGGATTTTTAAAAAAATAACTTCCCAGGTGGCTCTATTGTCCCATTGGGCCCCTCTTATTAGAGGAAGGAAATGGCCAGGCACGTGCCTGCAGAAGCCCAGGGCCAGGTAGAGGGAGCAGGTGCTCAACACATGTGAGTCGAATGAAATCAGCAATATTGGCTTGTACCAAAGCCAGCCTGATAAGCCTCCGTTTTACTAGAGTCAGCTCTATAGCATTCAGCTGGCCACATGGTTTCCCATAAAAGAAACCACTTCTGCCTGCCTCTGCCTGATCCTGGGAAGGCTCGTGATGCTCAGTGCAACGCTGTGTCTGTTTATAAATTTGGGCATTTATAGTTTTCTCTCTCACTGTTGTTTTAATGGGACCATTTATAAGGCCTTATGCAATTTGCCTCTGCCTTGTTAACTCTGCAGTCTTCTCTCCCTCTGTGACTTCACTGCTGTTGTCCTGGCCGCTTTGTCATGCAGGGAATGTAGGCATGTCCCGCCTCTGCCTGGGGTGCGATTTGTGTTGCTTTCTGTGGCCATGAGCTGTGCTCAGGAGCTCACCTCACTTTGTTGCTCAAGGATAATGTTCTCAGGGAGTGGTCTCCTTTCCACACAGATATCATCCACCCACCCTCCCCTCCCTCCCTCCCCACACCCGCTTCATTGCTCTTCACAGCACGGATCACCTAACAAATGATGCCAGTTACTTGGGTTTGCTTTCTGTTTCTCCTGCTACAAGGTAAGCTCTAGGACAGGAGAGGTTGTCTACATTGTCGGCTTTGCCATCAGTGGGCCCAGAGCCGTTACTGGAACTCAGTAGGGTGTGTCTGCCATTCGGTGCTTGGACTGCGCTGACTCATCCCAGGCCCCAGCAGCTCCTCTGTTAAATCCTCACTGCTTCTCCCTTTGCCAGAGAAAGCTGTCCTCTTTCTGCTGTTCCCTTTGGCTTCTTGTGCAGGTTCATGGAGCCGTGTGTTCCCGCTGATTGACGTTTTTGGCTCTCTACTACTTCTGAGCACCGCAAAGGCTGAGGAGGGCACAAAGCCTTACACGGAGTGGAGGCTGAGCGGGGCTGTGTTAGGAAACAAGCCAGGATTGAGCCGCAGAATTTTGGCCTCTTCCTCTCCTTCTAGCCACGCTTTCCACAGCTGCAAACCTATGCCGTTCTCCATCTTATTCGAGTATCTTGGCTTGAGCAGTATGGGATGTGTCAGTACCATGTAAGAGGTACAGAGAGTTTCAATAAGAAAAGCTTAAAAAATTCAGATGCCTTAGAGAATCTGTTGGTTCTATGGATGACGTTTCCTTCCTCACATTAATCTACATATTAAGTACTGTTGGTGTTACCTCTATTTGCCCCACCATTTCCAAGCGGTAGTTATTTCTTACCCGGATACTGAGACAGTCTCCTAAACTGTGCACCTTATCCAGTCTCTTTCCCTAGAACTGTCCTCTACACACCAGCCAGAGAAAGCTTTTGAAAACCCGGGGAGATGCTGTCTCTCTCCTACTTTCATATCCTGTAAAGATTTCCCGCTGCCGTGAAGTGCAGTGTGCCAGCAGTGTGCTCCGCGTCCATCTCCAACTACCCTGAGTGAGTTCTCCTTTGTTCCTGCTGTAGGTCTCCCGGGTTTTATATTTTCATGCAACAGAACCTCTGCTGGCTCCTTTGCTGGGAGAGCACTCCCCTTCTCTCAGCCTGGGTTCCTTCTGCCCAGTTCCGATCTTACTCAAACACGTCTTCCCCAGAGAAGCCTTGGCCAGCGCCCTGGAGCTGTCCTGCCACACACCTTTGGAGCATCCTGTTCTTCCACTTCCTGCTATGCTTGTTATTGCTTGCCCATCAAATTCTGAGTGCCTCTGTTGCCATCAAACTACACGAGATGTATTCGTCCGTTTTGTTAATTACCGTATCCTCGGCATCTAGAACACTGCCTGGTGAGTAAGTGCTTGATAAACTTTTCTTGAATAGATGGAGGGCACATTTGTGTTTATGTCACTAACTGTGTAGCTGTGGCCCTAGCACAGTACCTGGAACATTGTAGGTACTCAATACATATTTGTTGGCTAAGCAAACGAACCCATTTTGAGGCATTGTCAAGTCAGGCCTTTCATTAGGAATTTGAATTTTGAATATTTATTTTTATACTCCTACCTTGAAAGGTTCATGCATAAACACCGAGCTCTACTTTTAGACTCCAGACCTGGGTGTGTACATTCCAGCAACATTCTTCTCACCTGTGAGAGAGTATTTGTAGGAGCTCCAGTCTGGACTTTAGTGTTGGGGAAATTAGTAACTTCTCACCTCATAGCATGAGATTTCTAGATCATCAGAAACATCCCTGCTCTTAGCAGAGATATCAGGAACTGCACCTCAGGCCAACTGGGCTCTGCAGTTCTCTACAGAGAAACGAGCAAAAACTGCAAGTTGTCTGTCTGAGGTGCTCAGAAGAAAACCACCACTGCCACAGAGCCGCATGCGGATCTCAGCCTCCCTGTCTGCGTAGCAGGGTCGCCACCCCTGCACAGGGGCTTTTCAGAGGTAGCTGCATGAAGGGTGTGTGACACTGGGATTAAGGATGGGAGCTGGGATCAAGGGTGTGCAATTACTCAATTAGTCCACTGACTGGTCTGGGTAGTTTCTGGGTGTGGATAATGGGAAGGCCCATCCTGGGTGTCGGTGGTACCCCCAAAGAGCAGGTAGCCTTGAAGGGACAGAAGGGAGAGGGAGGCTGCTGCTGCTGCTTGGCTGCTTTGTTGCTTTGCTGCCTTCTGCCCACCGTGAACTGTTTCTCCTCTGTGATGCCCTGTGCGATGCTGCCCTGCGTTGGAGCCAGCTGATTCTGAACTGAAACCTACCAAGTGTGGGGCACAATAAACCCCTCCTCCTTTGAATTTGGGTGTCGGGTATTTTGTCTTAGCAATGAGAAAGTAACTAAGACACTGTCCCTCTTTCAATCATGTCTATGGAATGTCTGATGAATTCTTGAATACCATGTTAATGCAGTAATTTTGCTACTTGAAAATCCTTTAACTATCTGTCTCTACTTCCCATAATAGTACATCTACTTCTTTAGCCTAGTATTCATGTCCCTCCGCAGACTGATGCCACTTTCTTTTCTAATTTCATAGAACCCCTCACAAAACAGCCTCTCAGGCCTCTATAGCCTGTTTTTTGTGTCTGTGGCACACACTGTGGTCTGAAGGGACCATCTCTAGGAGCCAGAGGTGGGACCCTGCCCAACTGAGAACAACTGGACTAACGGGCCGGAAGTCATGCACTGCGAAAGCTCAGGATGGAGAGCGGGCATGAGAACGGTTGAAGAGAAGTCTGGGCCAAAGCTGAGTGGACGATCTACGGCTGAGGCTTGCTCACGTGATGGGCTAGTTTCTATCCCGGTTGAGCCGCCGGCCATCACTTGTAAGGCAGTGGTGTCACACAGCTGTTTCCAAAGAGATAACTGCCACACATAGTGCACATTTTTATCTTGGGACCCATGGCATCTTTTTCACCTCAGTGCCAATTTCTTTTCCTTCTGCCTATTTGAATCTCATCCACCCTTCAGCACTCATTTCCAGAGCACCATCAAGGCTCTGGTCTGTCTCAAATAACCTATTTCTCAGAGTTCTGATATTTGACATCATTCTCTAATTTACCCCCCAATTCCTATAGATCTCCCCCAGTTCCAGAGTGCGGTACAATTCAGTATTCACTGCGAGAGCCCACTTTGTGCAGGCATTTTCATCTGGAGACTTTATGGAGACTGACTCACTGTCTCACTTACGTGGAGCAGTCTGGATGTGGAGCAGAATATGAAGGTGTCTTTTAACTGTTAGATTTAAATACCAGTCTAAGGTAACAAAGTGCCATAAACTAGCAATGGAATGCAACAGCATAAAACACAATAAATTCTTATTGCCCATGGCTAAAATGAGACAAAATATTATTCCAGAGTAGAGGAGAAAGAAAGTAAAGCTCTGCGAAAAAAGTATGAGCAGATGAACCTTTCAAGCATGCTGAATGGCACCCGAGTGACCTGAAAGAGTTACTCAATGTAGAAATAAATAACTTTTGGACACCTTACTAGTGACTTGGCTATGATCAACAGTTATAATTCCTCGTAGTAATGAGTCTAAAATGAAGAACTTCTTAATGCACATACTTAACTTGGAATAAGTTTACCATTTGTAAGCCAAATACAGTTTGAAGCTTCTGTGAATTCTGATCAGTGTGATATAGAAAGCTCAACGCTGAGATTTTTCAAGTTATGGGAGACAGAAGAGGGATGCTTGTCAACTCTGTCAGTGTTCTTACTTTTACCCAGGTCAGAAATAGAGAAATCAGAACCTTTTTTCACATACTAAGCTGTGAGGACTCTTCACTAATTGCAGATGACAATGAAAACTGAAGTTGTGCTTTCTGTACTCTAATTCTGGTGGCAAAATAGTAAAGAATTTTAAAACTTTGAGCAAAGGAAATAATTCTAGTGATTGCCATCATAAAGAACCACCTCCCACCCCGCCACTCTGTGAGGCTTATTTTTAATAAGGCATTCAATGCTTTTTTTTTTTTTAACTTAGGTAGTGTGAGCTTTTAGATTTACAGCACAATCAAAAAGAAGGTACAAGGATTTTCCACATACTCCTCGCCCCCACACAGGCTTGCCCCCTCATCTCCAACCCAGACCTTTGGAAGGTCTTTTCCTCCACACTGACCATCCCCAAAGGTCAGGTCTGAAGGTTCTTCGGGCATCTCCTTGATTCTGATGTGAGGGGCGCAGGACTGGGGTGCCGCTGCACAGTCCGCTGCTAGCAGATGGAACCAGGTATGTAGGCAGCCTTGCTGAAGGCTGATAGGGAGGCTTTGCCTGCAGGACTCTGTCTGGGCTGGCTCCAGGCTCCGCCTAAACAAGGCTGGCCTGAACAGAACTGCTGGCTTTTGAAGGCTGCTAATGCAGCAGCTTTGTCCTTGAGAGGGGCTACAGAGCTAGTGAGGTGGGAGGAGGCCATGGGGTACTGAGGAGTGGTCACGGGAGCAAGAGACACAGGAGTGGATCTTACTGGCGTACCTTTCTCAGAGTTCAGCGGGTCACCCTGTGCTAGCAGATCTGGGCCATGGTGTCAGCCCAAGAGGACTCAGAAAGGGACCATGTGGAATTGAGACAAGTTATAGAGTCCAGACTAAGAATTGCACTCACCTCACATGCAAAGGCAGCCAAGTTTCCACTGGTGAGTCTGGATTCTGTAGGCAATTTAGTGATTTCCTGTTGGCTACCCCCCACCGTAGCTTCCCTCCCACCTGCAAGCAGTCACCCACCCATAAATCCTGTCCAGCCCTGGATTATTGCCCAATGTTTCAGAGGGTTGGACTCACCAAGGAGAGCAGAATTCCCAGGATCCAGGACCAGCTGTGTTCCCGTAGGAGATGTCAGCACCGAAGGAAAGTTCAGGCCAGTGGCTGAGAGCAAGGCCCTGATATCTCCCAACTGTGTGGGGACCTGGGGAGGATCTGCGAGAAGAAAGATGGTGAATTAGAAAGTTAAGTCATGCAGGGCATAGTAACACGGGAAAGTGAAGTAGCAGGCGTGTACATGTGGGTGTACAAGAAAGGCACTGCTGTTATTGATTCTTAGCACTATTTTTCCTATGCTGGCGGTATATCTGTCAGGTGAATCTGAATTTCAATCTTAATACTGAATGTCTGACATAATATAATAGAGTTAGTTATAAGTACCAGGCATGTATTTCAGGAGGTCTTTGCTTTCTCCTATAGCACCACTGGGTTCTTACAGCTTTGTAGATAAAGTAGATCATATCATGAGCAACTTCACCATTTACTATATGACAGGTCACCATGGGGTAATTTTCATCCCATTTAACTGTGACAACATTCTTTAGAGTGTTTGTGTCGTCACAGACAGAAACAGGGTCTTATGAGTGACTTTTTCCATAAAAAAGATCTAATTGTGAAGTTCATTTGCTTTATGCCCTGGATTTTTCTACCCAAGTAGGATGAAGACAGACAAGACAGGAAGACAATGCTTTGTCCTTCAAAATCTTATCAGCAGTCACCAGAGGCCACAGTTAGCCAGAGTTAAAAGTGTCGACAACTGCAGCCATAGCGGCTTGTTTACCCTTTCCACTGGATAACAGAGAGGTGAGTGCCTTCTGCACCCAGCGGTAGGATGATCCCGCCCTCCCGGGGCAGCTGCGGAGCCCCTCTGCCTCCCTTCCCGTGTCTGCTGAAGCACGGCCATTCTCGTGCCCAAGACCGGCTGCCGCTCCCCCTAGGGCGCTTGCTGGAGTGGAGAGAGGAGCAGGAGCATTGCTCTTGCAATGGGTCACTTGAGTAGGGTTTGGCAAGGGTCCGACCAAGTGCATGGCACTTGTTAGGGATGGCGAATAAGTACTGCTGGTGTCTGAGAGTGCTTCAGAAACATACCTCAGTCTCTCCACATGGGACCACCAAAGCCCATCCCACAGGAAAAAATGGTGGATTTGAGTATAATTTTAACTTTAAATTATGGTGTATAATTGTAATCATGTATAATTGTGAACTAACCTGTAGCCAGAAGCTTGATAATAAGGCAGACCGTCATCCGTTTCTTCGCAGTCATCCAGGGGTGAACATTCATTGAGCGTTACCTCTGCGCTCCTGTCAGCTGAGCACTGGGAGAGCTTCCGGTGAAATTCATGAAGTATAATTTTAAAAATCTTCTGCATGTAATATAGGAAGAACCCTGTTTGGATTCAGGAATCCTCAGTCTTAGCTACTGTTCTGTCATTCACTAAGTTGGACAACTCCCTTAATCCTACTAAGTGTTAGTTTCCTCACCTGTAAAATGGGTTCTTCTCTAAGATCTCTTTCTCCTCTGGGATAACGTGATTTTAGGAGTTAATGACGGCAGTCTACTCAAAGCCAGTCTTTCCTTTCACAGTCTTCCTTGATATTCACACTTTAAACTTCGGAAGCCTTTGTTTAGTTACTCAGCAAAAAGGGAAGCCTGTGGCCATCTGCCAACCGATCTGTTCCCTTGGGCCAAGTATCAGCGCCTCCTAGGGGAGTTAGAGCTTTTTTTTTTTTTAAATAGTATTTCTCTTTCTTCATACATGTCCATTTGATCTTCCCAGGGAAACTGATTCTCCAGGGCCAGCAGCTCTCTCTGAATTTCACCTGAAGCTCTTCCAGTGCTCAGCTGATGGGAGCGCAGAGGTAACGCTCAGTGAATGTTCGCCCCTGGATGGCTGCGAAGAAACGGATGACGGTCTGCCTCACTATCAAGCTTCCGGCTACAGGTTAGTTCACAGAACATGATATGAGATTTCAGCTTTACTCATGAAATCTCTTCTTCAGAAATTAAGCTTTATTTTTGATGATTAAAAAAAGAAATATTGCCTCAATTTTCATAAAGTACCTACAAAAACTAATAATCTTTGTTGAAGAGACGGAGACTTCTGGTCAAAAAAAAAAAAGCCCAAAAGTCAGGAGTTGTAAAAGTGGTTTCTACCCATCAGACTGGAAGACTGCATGTTCTCCCAACACCACACGTACAGTCACACCATGTTAGAGTGGGTGTGGTAAGAACCAGCTCGCAGGACACACACACACACACACACACACACACACTCCTTCTCTCTTTCTCTCTCTCCCTCTCCCCCTCCATTGGCTATGCGTGGTAGCAGCCACCATCTTAGACTTTTATCTCTGTTAGCAGAGATAACCAGCAAGGATTATTAGGGAGGAAAAACCCACCAGTCAGCACCATAGCTCAGTGTGGGTCAAGAGTCCCTGGGCTCTAGGCGCTAGACGAGCAGTTTACCTGGATGAACTCATGCATAACAAATGACATCCTTCTCTCACTGAGCCAGCTCTCTGTGGCTTCCTCTGACGGCTGTAGGTGAAGTCTATAATGTATGTTTATGTATGTATGTGTAACATGTAATTATTATTTTTTATGGTTTCCCTTAGAATGACAGGTTTTTCTTGGTTAGAAAGCAAGTATAAGTGCTCTAATAGTTGCTTTGTTTTTAAAGAGAAGACCTCCTCCGTAAAAAGCTTCTTTGCCTTTTATTGTACAAACTCCCAAAGTTGGGGTGGGGGAGGAAAACAGCAGAAGGTTTTAGTGCAGATGACAAAAAGGGTCACAGCTGGCAAGATGGCTGAACCCAATACTGGGCAACATTAGCTGGTGGATGGGGCCCAGTAACTGTCCTTAGTCTTATTTTAGGAACTGGTAGGCCCTTTAGTTAAGAGTTCTTATGTTTGGGATATGCATGTGGAGAATTTATGTAGAATAGACTATGCATTTCCTGGAATTAGATGGAAAATTTTACCCATATGAATTTTTCTGGAGAGGGTAATTCATTATTTCCAAGTGATGCCCAGAGAGGGAGTTAAGACAGTTGCTTTACTTCTGTCACGTCTGTTTGACACCCTGCCTCCACCTGCAATGCGGACAATGCTCGTTGGCAAATCCCCGTATGTTGAAGACTCGTGATGTGACTTGCTCACGCCCACACAGTCAGATGCAGGGTAGGGTTCAAGTTCATGTTTGTCTGGTCTCTACTGAAAGGCCTGATGATGGGGAGAAGTGAAGAGATGCTGAATTTGTCTTTTACGTCCTTAACGGAATCAAGGAAAAGGAGATGAGGGTGGGTGAGACAGCCACCCCTGCAAGGTCCGCCCGAGTGGCTGCTCTGAGGTCTTACCCAGGATGAGGAGCTGGGTGTTCTCTGTCAGCTCTCCGTGCAGATTGGCTGCCCTGCAGGAGTACATGCCCTGGTCCGAGGAGGACACATTTGTGAGCAGCAAGGAGCCCTCGTGCAGGTGGGAAGAGCCCAGACTGCTGTTATTCCTGAACCAGGTGACTTCGGCTTCAGGCACACCTGGGAAGAAAAAGCAAATGTGTCAGCCAGACATACTCAGGTGAACCCGAAGGCACTGCTGCATTCTTCATGGGCCCCTGCTGGGCAGGAAGCACCTGGCTGGCATCTTCACCTGTCCTCTGGCCACACTAAATCATGCCGGGACTTCTTCGTTGTGGCTCGATGCTTTACTTTTAAAACCCACCCCGATGAGGCAGGAAGGGGAAGGTTTGTTAAAAGGAAAGGGAAGAGACGGGGTGGTGGTGGTGAAGGGCACTTGCCAAGGCAGAATGCCCACATTCTCGGGAGAAAACACAAAAACATAAAAGCTAATGTGCATATCCATGAAAATGAAGGATCTAAGACTCTATAAGACACAGTGTCAAGCCGGATACAAGAATGTAGGCTGCGTGATTTAATTTCTGTAAGCAATAAACAAAATTGGTAACATTAATTTATGTCGTTAGCAGTCAGTGGTGGATTCTCTGAGGGGCTGGGATGAACCCAGAGGGGTTGTGACAGAAAGAGGCGAAGGGACAGGGCCACTAGTGATGCAGACATTTAGGCGGGGAATGCCCACTGGCATCTTCATGACAAGATGCACTTTTCTGCATAGACATCATACTTCAGTGAAAAGTTAACAGCTATAAAACACTAAAATATGCGTCTGACCTAGACAGATAAAAGCTGCTAGATCCTTAGAGTAGAGACTGTGTGTAGGAAAACATGCTTGTAGTTTTACAAGTTGCTAAGGTCTGGCTCTTTCCCCAACAGGCCCATGGGTTTGCTAAAGGTTTGGTTCTCCGGCGGTAACCCTGAAGAGGCTCGTGGGCGGTGTGCAGGGCGCCCCTGCGGGAGACCATGGGACCCAGTCCCCTTCTTCACTGTCTTCTGCTTCCTGGCCATCAGGCAGTGTGTTTGCTGCGTGAGCTGCTCCTCCTCATAGGCTGAAACAAGGGAGCCTGTCAATTATGGGATGGAAGCTCCAAAACTGTGGGCCAAAATAAACGTTCTCTCTCTGTAAGTTGATTATCTCGGGTACCTTGTTCCCACAACAGAAAGGTGACCAATACAGAAGCATATGTGTTCTCTCAGCACAGTAGAACACAAAATTGTGTCACCAGCAGCACATGGAAGATAGACCGAAATAGAGAACTCTACCCCTCTGTAGTCCATGGCCGCGTCCTGGGAGAAGAGCAGGGGAGAAGACGTGCTGAGGTGCAGCGGCTGCCTGGTTTGCAGTCTGGCTGTCCCTCAGAGGGATGGCCTGAGCTCTCTAAAACGTTTCCTAGTGTCTGCAGGCCGGCAGTCAGGCCCCGGTTGAGGGCACGCCTTCCTGAGTGGTGTTCGTGGGAAGCTCCGTGGGAGGCTGGGCTCTGAGTGAGCTGGGAGCCTGAAAGTCTGTGGCCCCGATTCACAGGTCTCTAGGAAACAGAGAGCTCTATCTCGCATGCTGCCCAGCCTGCTGAGCCTGCACAGCTTACGCACAGAACTCTCCGCACGTATCCAGGGCGTGCTCAGAATGTCAAATCCTGGAAAATGGGGTCAATGCCAAGGAAAGTCAAGGAGCAGACCGTTAGTCCCGCGCTTTCCATGAGATGGGGCTAGACGCTGCCTTGGGGCAAGGGCACCGCTGCTCTTCACGCCGGCCCACTGTTGGGGATATCCGAGTCTTCTGGAAGTTGTGTATGTGTCTATTACTTGTCCTCACAGCTGGCTATGAAGATGGATACAAGGAGGAGAAGCAGGGCTCAGGAAAGCGGTGGAGAAGTGGGTGAGGCAGCCCTGCACGCTGGGGGAGGCATACACTAATGCGCTAACTCAGCTCCGATGACTTAACACTCGGTGCTCAAGGGCTCGAGCCAGCGGACGGGCTTCGTCTCTAACACACCTGCGAAGGTAACAGAGGAGGGGCAAAAGGCTGATTTCCCACAGCAGCACCACTAGGGAGAGCAAGAGCATCACGATGCTTGCCCAGGCCCGTTTGCACTTTGGATCCTGAGCTCAGATTTTACTTCAAAAAAATCCCTAGCCTTCAGTAGAAAGCCTCTGAAAAGTGAGGTGGAGAAAAAGGACCCTCAGTGATTTCTATTCCAAAAGCACAGAGAAAATGAGGCTCTATACATGATTTTCTGTAAGTATTCACCTCCTTTCTGCAGAATTGCTCCTCATAAGACATTTATGGCTGGCATCCTCTTGAGGAGCACTTTGGTCAGCAAGCACTAGTTTCTAATGGGGCTGAAGGTTGTTCTAGAACAAGACAGGCAGAGAAAGGGGATGGGATGAAACGGGCCTTTTTCAGTTCCATCAGTGAAGGTGCTACCTACACGAACAGGGGCGTGAACCTTCTAGGCCTGTGCTGATAGTCCCTGGCGCACACACCTCTGCAGGAAACATCACGGCACTCTGTGTGACACTGACACTCCCGCAGCGGAGCTCCCTGCCACCTGTCACTGTGTCCTGCTCTGTCAGACCCTGGACTCTACAAGAGACGGAGAGATGCAGGGCAGGGAGAGAATGAGAGATGGAGGGTGAAGGGAATGGGGGAGAGACAGAAGCCAAAATGGCCCACACCCACAGCTGAAAGGAAGAGAGGGCTACTTCGGCCTGTGGATTTTAGAGCGTTCAGTCCGTTGTTAGCTGACTGCATGGTAGGAGGGCGCGGAGGAAGGGTCTGGCAGAAGAAAGCTGCTCCTGTCACGGAAGCAGAGAGAAAGGGAAGAGCTGGGGAGGGAGACGGACCCCAGGTTATAACCCCCGTGGCTCAGCTCTCCTGGCGAGGCCCCACCTCCAAAAGTGAATCCAGCTGTGGATTAATCCACTGATGACTGCAGCGCCCCCAATATGCAATAGCCTTCCAAAACCCCACCTTCAAAAAGGTGAGGCTTTGGGGGGGACTTTTTTTGATCTAAACCATAACGTGGAGGGATTACAGGAGTCCTTGCTCCCTCCTATCGCCTGCTCGTTTGGCCAATCAGGAACCTATCAGTGGAAGGCAGTGACCCAAACTGAGATACCTCTGGTCCCAAGAGTCCCCATCTGAGCAGGGCACACCCAGCCTGCCTCTTTAGAGCAAGTCTGAACTGCTGCCTTACTATTGCTGAACTCTCAAACACATACACATAAACACATTCTACTTTCAGAATTAATCTTTTTGCTGTCACTGTAACCCTGAGATTGTTAGGAAAGGGGCTTCTAGGCTCCACTGGCATTGACTTTGGTAGGTCTCTCTTATTGGGAGCGTGGTCAGGTTATGGACTATTTTTGGATCTGGATCTCACCTCCTGTAATGTGACAGAACATTCTACAGAAAGAAACATCTGAAACACGGCAAAAAATACACTCTACCGTAGAACAAAATCCAAAGCCATGTTGCTGTTGACCAGTTACACTGGAGGACTCCTTGGTACTATCTGTGTCTGAACGGGGAAGCAAAGGAGCGGGTGTTTGCTTTGTACCCCTGTGGCATATCTTACCAACAACACAGTGACCTCCTCGTTGCTTGAAAGGATCAATACATGGGTCTAGTCAGAATGGGCTGTAACTGGAAATGATTATAAGGATTGGTGCCTTTAATCTTCCCTGAGCTGCCAGGAAGTGTGCTGCTATAATACCCCACCACCCCTTTAAAAAACCCCAGACAGGATATCCTTGCTAACTGGACCATTTGTTATATTTGGAAGGCTGCTTATACCATGGCAGCTTGTCAGTATCTTGAAGTGGGGCTTCCAGTGGTGTGCTTTTATGCTGTAAGTTCTAGAAGTAAGGGTAGGGTGGTGTCTTGGTTACTTTTCTCTTGTTGCTGAGACAAAATACCTGACACCCAAAATTAAGGGAGGAAAGGTTAATTTAACTCGCAGTTTGTGGAGGTTTCAGTCCATACTCAGCTGTCTCCAAGGCAGGGTGTCACGGCACAGGGGGACCAGTACAGGGCGGCAGAAGACAGCAAAAGCAGCAAGAGCAAAACAGGGGGAGCAAGCCTCCTTTCCTCCCTATATTGTCAGCAGGCTTTTCCAACCCGCAGGGCGGGCATAGCACTCACACCATCTCCCCGCCCTCCTCTTGCACAGGCTCAGAATGTTTACAAAGTGAGGACCCTGGTTCCCTGCTGAGTCACTTAATTAAGCTTCTAAACTTCTCAAGTTGACACAGTGTATCAACCATTACCATCTACTCCTTGTCAACTTGACAATAAGACACATTTCTTTAAACCAGTTTCCAGATACAAAGACATGCTTATTCTTAACATTTCACAACTTCCACATTATAACACAGTTTAATCCTTAAGAACCAGTATGAAGTCTATCAACATTATATTACATTAGAACCATATTAGGGCAGAAATAGTACAATTACAATCCTCTTTTCTGTAGCTGACCATGGGGTCATAACTGGTATTTAGAACTATCTTCTTCCACTACCTATTCTGTATTCCCTTAGCCTTCAGCAAGCACCTCTGTAGATCCTGGTTCTTTCCCTGGTGGAGTGAAGCATACCTTCATTCTTGGATTCTCTGAGCCATTTGTCATTCTGCCTATATTAGGTTGTTGTAGCTTCCCACTGACTTTATTTTATTTTTATTTTTAAATTTTTTCCCATTGACCTTAATAACAGGGCCTGGTAATACTAAGAGGTTCCCCAAGGGATCTCCTGCACTCCATATATATACCATTTCCATTTAATGATAGACTGTTGCTGCACACGTCCAACCTTATGACTTGGTGATCAGATAATACCCAGGCCACAATAGGCAACTCAGGCACATGGTGACCTGGTGTCCTGTGGTCAAGCACTCGGTTTCTGCAAGGGCCCAGTAGTAGACCAAGAGCTGTTTTTCAAAGGGAGAGCAGTTGTCTGCAGATGGTGGCAGAACCTTGCTCCAAAATCTTAAAGGCCTCTGCTGAAATTCACCTAGGGGGGCCTGCCAGAGACTCCAAACAGCATCTTTACCTGCCACTGCCACTTCAAGTACCATGGGATCTGCTGGATCATCTGGCCCCAGGGGAAGAACAGCCTGAACAGCAGCCTGGACCTGTTGCAGAGCCTTCTCCTGTTCTGGGCCCCACTCAAAATTAGTAGCTTTCCGAGTCACTCGGTAAATGGGCCAGAGCAAGACACCTAAGTGAGGAATGTGTTGCCTCCAGAATCCAAATAGGCCCAGTAGGTGCTGTGCCTTGTTTTTGGTTGAAGGGGAAGCCAGATGCAACAACTTATCTTTCACCTTAGAAGGAATGTCTCTACATGCTCCACACCACTGGACTCCTAGGAACTTCACTGAGGTAGAAGGACCTTGAATTTTTGTTGGATTATTTCCCATCCCCTGGCTCTCAAATGCTCTACTAACAAATCCAGAGTAGCTGCTACTTCCTGCTCACTATGCCCAATCAGCACAATATCATCAATGTAATGGACTAGTGTGATATCCTGTGGGAGAGAAAGGCGATCAAAATCCCTATGAACTAAGTTGTGACACAGCGCTGGTGAATTAATCTAACCCTGAGGTAAGACAGTGAAGGTATATTGCTGGCCTTGCCAGCTGAAGGCAAATTGTTTCTGATGGTCCTTACGGATAGGTGTGGAGAAGAAGGCCTTTGCCAAACCAATGGCTGCATACCAAGTACCAGGAGATGTGTTAATCAGCTCAAGCAAGGAAGCCACATCTGGTACTGCAGCTGCAGTTGGAGTCACCACTTGATTAAGTCTACAGTAATCTACTCTCATTCCCCAAGACCCATCTGTCTTCTGCACAGGCCAGATGGGAGAATTAAATGGAGATGTGGTGGGGACCACCACCCCTGCATCCTTCAAGTCCTTGATGGTGGCACTAATCTCTGGAATCCCTCCTGCTTTTGGTTTACTATTTTACCAGTCAAGGCAACTCCAACGGCTTCCATTTGGCCTTCCCAACCATAACAGCCCTCACACTACAGGTCAGGGAGCCAATGTGAGGATTCTGCCAAGTGCTGAGCACATCTGTCCCATTCTACATTCCGGAACAGGGGAAATGACT